CTCTCTCTCTCTCTCTCTCTCTCTCGCTCCCTCACTCTCTTCTATCTTCTATCTGCTAGCGACTTTCTCTTTCTCTCATTATCTAGTAAATCTTCTTAGTAGACAACCATATAACCAAGCTAACCTGACCAAAATAACTGCCTGGCCAAAGCAAGCTATACGGTCAATATTAGTAAAGGGAACAAGTGTCACACATGCAAAGGCTGTAAATTCTACATGAACACACATTCACACTGCAGTGAGTGTGTGAACAAGCAGCATGTGCACAATAGCAGGCTAGTCTGGTAAATATATCCATGCTTAGGTTGACTTTTCTCTTGAGTCCCCCTGGACATCCGGGAACACTGACATTAAGGTTGTTTGTCTGGTTTGGGTGTGCAATTTTCCACAATGCTATGAATGTGTTTTCTGAGAAACCCTGGATGTAAGTGTACCGCAATTAGTATCTGTCTTTCACAGTCCTTTTAAAATTGAAACGTTGCCCAAGGTGAAGTATGCCATCATGTGTGACCATAAGGATGTCTGCACTACCATCCATATCAGATTTCTTGTTTTCCAGAATTGTACTAACCTAGCATGGAAATGATTGTAACTGGGAAAAAGTGTGTCCGGGAATTATTTTTTACGATCTACCCAAACACTACTGTAATTTCTGGGGTGGGTTAACAACAAGAAATCTTTCAATAGTGGCATAAGTGCAAACGTTTGGAGCAAGGTTAGAGCTCCATCCGTCGTGTCGATTCTTCTCTCAACCGAGGTTTGCTTGTGGGTGTAAACATTCCGATTTTGTTGTCCCGTTTCGCTTGAGTCGCTTTTCGCCGGAGTCTTGCAGATAGCCTCTGGCACTGCGAATTCGTAGAACTGTTTGGAGTAGTGACGTCGACCCCGCATGTCACGTTTTACTGCGTGCTGTGTCGCGCACTATTATTCACATCCACTCGTTTCTTGGAGTACGTCATGGGTAGGGGGTTGCAGTGGTGCTGCTGGTACTGCTGTTGTTGCATCAGGAGATTATTTGGCCCGTATCTCTGCTGCACTTGTTCAATTTTCACTTTGCACGAGTTTAGCATCACCCTGGGAAATTCTGTTGATGTAGGTTTGATAGCATCGTCATATTTATTTTTGGTGTTCCGTTCGTAGTTGGCTTGCAGCCATAGCTGAGTGTGTCTCATGCGCTGAAGATATTGTGCAATAATTCAACAGTCGTATCAGAATTTATATTAGCAGTGACAGTCGCAGAACAACAGTATATATAGGAAGGGGTGTGTTTTTTTCATACCATTTTTTACTTATTGATTAGCACATTATATAAAACAGAAATACAATTGATGCCATTTATGACTGCGTGTTATACTGCGTGTTATACTGCGTGTTATTACTCCCTGGATTGTAAACACACTCTTTCAGGTGACCTGTATATATATGTTACATGGACATGTAATCTGGTAGTTGTGCGCAGGAGAATAATATCAGGACGTGATATGTTTTTATGGGATGTTAGCTGAATGTACTAGGGAGCATACATGTAGTCGTATCACATTTTCAATTATTGTATTTGCACAGTTTGTAGGTATACGGTAGGCAATCACACATAGTGTACACATGTGGCAATCATTTATAGCGTTGTGTCCTTTATTGAGTGCGAGCGTGTGCGTGTGTGCGCGCGTGCGTGCGTGCGTGTGCGTGCGTGCGTGCGTGCGTGCGTGCGTGTGCGTGTGTGCGCGCGTGCGTGCGTGCGTGTGCGTGTGCTCCTATTTTTGCTGGAAAAACTGACTGACGGAATGCATTTCCAATTATATAATGGAAGTCGATAGGAAAATCTCAATCACGTTATAGAATTTTACATTACCTATGCTTTTTTGGCATGCATTACGTACTTGCAATACGCGACGTCCGGTATTGCTGTATTCGTTTCAGCCGTAATTGGATATTTTAATTTTTAGCCTGCAATATGGATGCCCACGTACTCGTGTAGCATGTTGTTCTAGCGGCATGTATGCTGTAATAGACCTTTATTACACCCGTTTAAACGTTTATGCGTGCGGTTATGATGCCGTGGCATTTTCGTGAACACTTTACAACTACACGCTTGCCTGCACGCACGTACATTCAGACGCGCGTGCACACACAAACGCACGCACGCACAAACGCGAGCACACACACACGCGCACACACACACACACACA